ACGGATCTGTCCGTCTCGCGCGCGTCGATACGGACGTGTGCCGGGAACCTATCCGCTTCGCGATCGGTTTCTGTATTTCGCCGGGTGATCGGTTGCCACGTACGTCGCGGGCGGCGACGGCGGTGGAGTCCGATGCCTCCTCGGTCGGCGAAGGAAATTGCCGCGACCCAATACTAATGGATAATGGAATTATTGGTTACGGTCGGAACTCGCCCTGGGGATGATCGTAATTCAATTGCTCCGATGTGTCCTCTGGACGTTTTGACAGGACGGATGTCCTAACAAGGATACCGCCTCGGGATATCTTCGCCCGTCTCTCTGTGTGCGGGCGACGCGCACTCGCGTGGATCTAACGAAAATGTCGGGGGAAAAACGGCGAATTGTCGCGCGAGCGTCGTTTCCCATCGGTGGTCAAATTTAAGGAGTTATCACTAGCGCATTAATTATCCTTGTCGCGAAAGAGAATTGGACCATTACGGCAAATGTCCTACGCTGAATATGGTCTTTACAATTATAGCAGGAAACTTCAGGGAACGGATTTTAATTCAACTTTCAATTCTAAATCAGTTCAATTCTAAAGCAGTTAATCTTTCAACTGCGTTTAACTAATTAATATATACAATAATATTATATACGGCGTAGCTGTAATATTCACAAGATCGCGGGTCACATCCAGCCTGAAGAGCTTATAATCGACAGTGCAAGGCGTAAAAGTTGAATCAGAATTGATTTTCAGGAATCAGATTTGTCCGACGTTAAACAATTGATGGCGTCATACGCGGACTATCACTAAGAATCGATTCGCCGATTGGCCCGGCGCGCGGCGTATCTTACTAAGGACATAAGAAGGAAAATTAATGTGGAAAACTAATAACCTCGGAACATTTCCCGCAGAGATTCCGGTACGCATCCTTCCCACTCGTAGATGGAAATTACAAGGACGCGCGCGATAGAGGGGCCACCGGGCTTGGTGATCGCAACATTACGGATGTATAGGCCAATTTGTAAGCAATCCAACTTAGATTCGCCGGGCAATATTATATTTTTACGTTATCTTCTTTCCCGGCAATTCACATCCTTCCTCTCCCCCCCCCCCCCTCTACCCCTCGCCCTTCTCTCTCGCGTACGCGATTCGTCCAGATGCAACCGCGTTCATTTTTATTATGCGGCACGTAATTGTCGCCATCAAAATCGGAAATGTGCGTCGCGTCGTAAATGTTGCACGCAATCTGATATTTCCGTGTACTGATAATGATAACTGATAATGAAAATTGCGCCTCTTACTTTTCACGCGGGACATTTTAGCCTATTAATGAGTACTTTGTGTGCGTTGCATCCAAGATTTAGAAAAAGATTTCTCGGATTATTTGTTATAAACGTTTGTAAATTGATGCGCAATTAAATTACGCAGGATTCTTAGCGTTAATATCGAACTCTGTTCCGTAATTTACTTTCTATATCTATAAGCAAACGTTTTAACGCGAAGAAATTGTAATATTTTACAAGTTTCCTATTCGATTTTTCACGAATTTTACGAATTTTGTATGTCTCGTGCTACATGCATTTATCGCAGTTGATTATCGTTGCCGGACAATTTCTAAAGAGAGAAAGAGCAAAAGAGTGGCTTACAGATTCCACAGAAATGCGGTGTAATTGAACACATTGACCATATCGCGTTAAAAAAAAACGACACTAAACGAGACCGGAAGACGCACGCGGATAAATAGGCGGGTGATTTATGAAGTGGCGAAGAGACACGTGTCTGCCCCGTCCTTCCTCCTTCGCTCACCTTAAGCTCGCGAGGCTGCCGGTCTCCTCGCGCAGGGGTTGCGGAGGGGTTCTCTACGCTGCCGACAGTTTTGGTCCAACATCTGCCCCCCGAAAAAACAAAAGCCCATTGTCGCTAACGACCGGTCGCGCGTCTCTTGTTTCTAACCGAGCGCTTTTGAATCGTAGGCGAATAACGGATCCGAGAGAGGCCCGTCCATTCAGACGACTCACCGTTTCTTCCTTTCGCGCTCGCTCAACCTCCTCGGTCGTATCCAGCTCGGACCATTTTCTTTTTTTTTTTCACTGGCAACAGGACCGTAAACCAAAACGTGGCCAGACGTCGCCTCGCGTTACCTTTGGAGTTTTTATCGAAAATTTTATCGGATTTTTACCATCGTCACTTCGCTCCCTTCTTTCCTTCGCATTCGATTGTCAGCGACCATCTTGGACAAGCGCGATTAAAATCTCGCGTTCCTGCGAAGAATGCGGGACGTCGTCGGGGCGCAATTGTCTCGTCCGAACACGAGTCTCGACACACCGAGACTTTGCGAGCTCTTATCTCGTTTCCTGCTACCGTCATTCTTCCGGTGAAAAACGAGAAGTTGCAGATAGGAGCCGCGAAAAAAGGTTTCGCGGCTCGACCGGGCCGATTTTGAATAGTGAAGGGCCAAAAAATTTATTCTTATCGGAATTTCTCTCTCTCTCTCTCTTTCTCTCTCTCTCTTTCTCTCTCTTTCTCGATGTACTTAGATCCATGAAAATATTTTCACGACTCGGTTCTTGGCTTGTTGTCGAGAAGATGCATCAAAACGCGATATCAGCATATTGTTATGGAATATTGCCGAGTTATATTCGTCATTTGAACTGCGCTGATGCTACGATGCGTTTGGGAAGTTATCCGTTTTAGGCAATGCTGGGAAAACTTACTAACTTCGCGTTCAGTGAATTCTCATAGGTTCGGCGAGGCACGCGCGCAAAATATGGTGCCAAAAATCTTTATATTGAAAAGGCCCTTTATTCACGTTGTCAATTATTTATCCGAATGTAAGTTCAACAAGTCACCGAGGTGTTTTATGTACGAGAAATCACAGGACTACAAAATAAATGAAGAATAATTGTAAAAGTATGTGAGGCCGCCATAATCGGCTGAGAGGAAGCCGACTATAACTCAAGTTCAGCCCACCGATCGGGGTGTAACTCGTATCCTAAAGGGTTGAAACGTGCCCGAGTTTGCGCCCTGGCCAATGGTCAAGCGAGCTCCGCCCAGAAAGAATCGAACGCCGTCGGCGCACCGACGAAAGGCGAGAAACGAACGAAGAAGGAGATAGCAGCAGCACCAGGGGTAAACAAACAGGGGTTGGTGTAAAGGCTGCAAAAAGAGAAGAGCTGAGATCCCTCGAGAAGCGCCGCGACGAAAGTGAGACAAAGATACGTAGCAAGAACGGAGACAAAGGGAGAAACTCGAAGGGCGAGACAGGAACGAAGGGGAGGGGGCGGAAGGGGGTAGGAAAAACGACTGCCAAGGCGGCGGAGGGTTTTTCTTATTTTGTCGCGAGCCTTGGCATCTCCCCATTCGGATAGATACGGATACTCAACTCGACGAGGGAAAGATCGATGTATGAAACTCCTGCCAATCTCTATGTTAATGCGCGAAACGTACGGGAGAGAGGACATAAGACGTCGCGAAGGAGTTCTGTAGTTTCTCTTGAAGGACACTCAAAAGTGAATTGTTACGTCTGCGGCTGACCTCGGGCCCTCTGTCCCTCGGACGACGGTGAATTATAACGGTTGCGTAAGAGGAAATTAGTCCTGTTTGTTACGAGGAAAGTTCGCTCGCCCAGATTAAGCGAATACCGTCTGCGGTCTATTTATCGTTGAAAGGAAATGATGGGGATTGAATCATGAGAATGAAGAAAGAAATCAAATCGAACTTTTACAAGAAGAATAGATGAAGGAATCCCTTCGCTTCTGCATAAATAAACGAAAGAAGGAAAGTCCCCTATTACGAGATAGGCTCGTAATATATAGTAAAACAGCGGGGTTTCTGCTAAATTCATAGGCATCATCTGGTTCCATCATGAATTTATTGCGCTCTCTCTCTCTCTCTCTCTCTCTCTCTCTCTCTCTCTCTCTCTCTCTCTCTCTCTCTCGTTCTGAGAAGAGATTTGTGATTAAATCTGGATGTTGAAAACCTACTAGCTCATATTAGAAGCTCATCTCGTAATAGGGAACTTTCCTCTATGTGCTATTGATATTTTTTATATCTTCTGAACGAAGAGAAATAATAACAAGATGCGTAAAGAGCGTTTTCATACTTATTGCTCAAAATGTAGATCTAGTTTTGATTTTCTTAATTCAATTACTTAATCACTATCGCACACATATATTCACGCACATATAAATTTTATGGTTGCCGGCTCATAGAATCGTTCGTTTTGATATCTCATCACAGGATTATGGCTGCAGTCAGTTAATAGGTATCGTAAATCGTAATGATTAATGCCTCGCTGTGAATAATGAGCGAGACATATGTCTACACTTGGTTATATAATAGTATCTGTAACATGTACATATCGATAGTAAAAGCCGATACTGCTTTCACAGTTCGTAGTCGGAGTCGGGAAACGACAATTAGAAGATTTCTTTTTGCGACACAATTGCGTTAATATGTTATTCATTGTATAATAGAACTGAATATGCTGTACCATCAGAGTCTGGTGCAGCATATAAATTTTATAATTGTTGCTGTAGGGGGAAATGATTTCCCAACAATAACAATAGTAGTATTATATCATTGTATTCTTTTGCAAGTAGAAAGCACGAATATCTGAAACCTTATCTTTGAAAATCAATAAGTCCACGAATAAATTTCGATTGCATAATGTTTTTATGGTATCAATAATTATATTGTCTTTTTAGGGAAGTTTTTTATATAAATTATATAAAATTGCTTCCTTCAAGTAAGTTTTTCTTCGTTTAACGCAATGTAATCTCATTTCAAAATTTTCACATTGAAACTAGACCTTTTCAAAAAAAGAATATTCTTCTTTTCTGTGTAATAATTCAGGGACGATTAACATTAGTATGACAAAATCGAGTATATCAGAGTTAAATAAGAGAAAGTATGCCAGCTCGAAAAGCTGCGTGCATCGCTTTATATGATCAGACTCGTCATCCACCTAATAAAAATTCCAACGCATCTGAACGAGACATATCCTTCTCTGTTACAGCGGAAACCTCGCAAAGTACCACGTCCCCAGACACCGTCCAATGTGGGGGCTGCAGGGCGTCCTACCCCCTCGGAGAAATTGTCCGATTCATCGAACACAAGGTCAACCACTGTCGGAGCACCCCTCAGGGCTGCCACAGTCCGCCGGCGACGGCCGCGCCGGAGGACTCCGATCCGGAGGATGCCCTCACCCTGAAGACCGCCGATCCGGACTCGAAGCTGAACTCGGTGCCCAGCATCTCCGCGCCTATCAATAAGAGGAGCGGCCGACTGGAGAGTCCGCCGACGCTACAGGGCCCGGGACCGGATGCCGGAAGTCCGATCGACCTCAAGGCAAGCGCCAGCTCGACGCCAAAGAGACGAACGGAAGCACCGGACGAGGACAAGGAAGATCTTCCGAAGAAGCAGAAGACCGAGTTCGTGGACGCCGACACAAACACGGTCAATTCCGGTAAATTTCTACGTCCTTTTTCTTTTTCTCTACATTACTATTACATGGTTCATTATTAAAGTGCCGATTAAATCTTGGGGCGTTGTATTAGCGTTTTGTCAATTCATTCGTATTGTGTCGTGTGAAAAGAAATATGTAACGTAACCCAATCACGAAACAATTCAAAGTTCCAATTTCGCATTCGGCTCTTGTATCGTAGATTCCAAATTTGGCAACGATCAGAACGAGAAAGTATGTCAGGGTTTCTAATCGTAGTGGGCGCGCATCGAGGAAACTATCGTGCCATTTCGAAATCTTTCTGGTTTGACGAATGTTGGTTTGTTCAAAAGGGGTGAAAGAGGATATTTTTTTAAATACAGTTATAGGGGGCTGCCATGTGATGTCGAACCTGGTCGAACGGACACGAACAATAGATCGGTGGATTCGATTTTTGAATTTAAACCGCCCGCTCGGGGATTGGGGTGAACCTGCCCCTCGTGTCTCCCCTCCCGCCATTCCTCTGACCCCCTTTTGTCGGGGAGTACATTGTCGTACGTCGAAGGGTTTAACGCGCGAGCGTTCTCATTTGGCGTCGCGACACTCTGGATATGAAAGTGCTACGATATCTTTGCGTTTTTTTTTTATATAACATCGATGCGAAGTTGAGAAATCATGTTTTTACCCTCTTCGTTGTTCAATTTGTATATTTAAATTATGCACGATTTTGCACGATAAATATATTATTATAGAAAGAGAAAAAGAAATAGAATATTATACTTTTTAAATAAACGTAGAAACATATGTTGCTTGCAACTCTATCTTCGTTTTTAAAAATATAACAAATATAAATATTTTTAATATAAACATTTTCAACAATAAAATAAAACGTTAGTGATATATTATTTTTCCATAATTTATATACTAATTGATAAATTGTCTTTAGTCCGTGTATCACAATAATGTATTATATTATTTAATATATTCAAACGACGAAATATATATATATATTATTATAAATTTTGAGTAATTAAAGACAGTTTTAATTTTGTAATCGATAAAATAATCCCGGAATTAAAGTTCATTTTGATTTAAAGAATCCATTCTGGTCTCAAATTCGCATCTACAACACCCTCGATGTAGAATCGAATTCTTCTTTGAAATTCTTATATAATGCTTAAGTGTGAAAATCGATAAGGAACTGTTTTGCAACGGAAATGACTTTCGTTCTCCAAAGACAATCAGCGTTAGATCTTTTGTTGTCCTTTGCAATTTAATTATTTTTACGGTTGTATGCGAAAAAAGGCTTACAAATATTATCCGAAAAATTTCAACAGTTAAACATTTTAATTAAGCATGTCCGTATTCTTGAACTAATGAAAATTTTATCTTAATAAAAAAATGCTAATTTATAATTACAGAACTATACCTTTAATTTACTAACCTTAAGGAACTAATCGTGAATTGTTACATACGGACATAAATCCATTTGTCGGTTTATCAATTGATCTCACGGATATTATTTAAACTGTTAAGCTTATATTTGCGACAGAGAATCCAAATTCTAAAAAAACATTCTGAAAAATAGATGTAAATTTACTTGGAGGAACGAGGGCGGCTATCGCGGACGAACATAATTGTGTCTCTTGAGGAGCAGCACGTCGGCGGTCGCTCGCACACACCGGTGTCTCTTTAAAGTTTCATCACGCTCCGGGGCGCTCGCCCCAAACCCCCTTTTGCTAGCTACACGTTCCGGCAACGAGATAGAGAGTTAACCCTTTCCAAACTGGTCCACGACCATAAGAATACTCCACGCTCGTGCTCATCCCGCCGTTCGTCCGCCGGTTAAGCCCCTTTTGTCGCCTTTTTTGTCGGATTTTTTGCTACTGGACAACCACGTCGAAAAGCCCAATTAGAATCGTCCTATTGTTCGGCCACGTGGTCCGCACGAGCCGTCCACGCGAGAGCGTGCCCATATGGGCGGACGCGCACCGAGCCGGTGTTAGATGATCAAGTCTCGAGCGTTACGTGCGAACAGGTAAAGCAACGCGTATCAGAAACGCGCACGTGGGGTGGCATTGACAGGATGCGCCAGGACCCTCGATACTCGGTTCGGGGTATTGTAATTCCCTCCCAGTGATATTCTGATTCTTTTTTTCTTCCGACTACTAGACGCACCGAAAAATAACGATATATTTTTTTCTCAAAAAGCAGAAGTGCTTTCCAGAAACTTGTTTCATTTTCGTCCAACTGGCCTCGGGAAAGACGCGAGTGTGAAAAAAAATCTGTGATTTCGGAGAAATTCGGTTACACGCGAAAATAGAGAACAAGCGGGGCGCGCGTCGCGTAAGAGAGCAGCGCGTTGGAGAACCGTGACGGACGATATGCGTCCGGAGGAATAAGGCTGAAGGGTAGAGAAGGAAGACGGTGGAGGGTGACGAGAAAGGAGCGATAATCCGTCGAAATTGACACCAACCAGCGCTCCCGGTGAGATGCAGATTTGATCTATCTGTCACGTTTGTCTGGGAATATTAATTCTCGTCCGTGGGTGAGGTTTTTCTCTGGCAGCTTTATGGCTCCTTTCCAACCCTCCCGCCGTCCTTTCCTTCCCAGCAAAGTCGACGACTCCCCGGACCGCCCGAGGTGAGCGGAGAATTGCTTGCGAATTGGCTGTCGCTCGGGGTTTCGGGATCCTGCAACTTTCTCGTCCTTCATCCTTCCGCTTCCTCCGTTCTCGCGGAAGGAAGTCGACAAGAACGGTGCGCAGGCGATACGCCTAAAAACCGGCGTCAGAAACTTTTTCGCCTATACATCACGCGTATTGCCGGAACCAGCCTGCTTGTATTTTATTTCATGCTTTATCGCTATTTCGTATTTTGGCCAGTTACTCTTTCACAATTTAAACATTTTATACCTAATACGAAATTTGATCACGCGCGTTTCACAAATAATATTCTTCTTGCCGATGGGATTACAAGAAGAACGACACGTGAGTGCGTGCCGATATGAAAGGCAACATGTATCATCAGTATGGCGGATGCTTTGAGAAGTTTACTTGCGTTTCGACTACTCCAGTTCATGCTTTACCGTCTTTCTTCTTTGACAACGACGAGGTGGCTGCGTTCCTCGCTGCCTTTGCACTTATCTCGTGCGACCCGTGTAAAAGAAAACCCGCGAGAGAGTGAGAGGGGGGGGGGGGAGGAGAGAGATAGAGAGAGACAGTGAACGTCATCAAAGCTTACAAAGCTCAGAAGTTCAATATACACGACTTCAGCTCGCTGCGATGCGTTTAAATTACCAGGTCGAGTGGCTTTTTGATTAATTTTTTTCCTTACATCCTTGTGCCGTAAAACGAGTCCGTCATCCACGTTTTCCTCTTTCTCTCAGAGATGCACTGCACTATAAGAGAATCGACGTAGCTGCAAAGGCAAATTTCTCACAGTGAAGGCTAGACGACACTAGAATTTTTTCTTCAAACTTCCAGCGTTCTCATAACAAGATGCGTTTTCATGTTTTTATCGCTCTCCATTATTTCGGACCAAGTATGCCCATGATCGTACATTTAATCTTATTTGCGATATGTAAAACTTCAATCTCATATTCTGGATGTTGTTGTCCCGCTTTAGGAACGTGCTCTCCTCGTGTCAAGTCGTGAACAACTCGAATAATAAATTCTTTTAATAAATGAAGACTCGGCCCTCTCTGAAAGGGTTAATAGCGAGCAGCGGTCCATTCGCAAGGTTTGCGGTTTCGACGGACAAACTGAGTAACGGAGGACATAAAAGCTCGTGAAGCGCAGTCTGACCAATCCTATCGCGGAATTGTAGTGACCACAAGGAGTATGTTACGCGACCATTGGAATATTCGTTCAGAGAGGATGGAATCGCCCCGGTCGACATATTCGCGATTTTAACGGCTTTGGCTCTTTGTCGCGCGACACTCTGCGGTGGGTTGAACGGGTCGTAAATAAAAATTCACTGGAAAAAATCTGCACGCTACGGTTACACGATAGTGAACGTAGTAATCGCACAATTTTGTTCTATTTTAACAATACTATATATATATATATTGTGATTAATATTTAATTAAATTTCATTTGAATTATGTTTTACATGCGCGCCCCATATATCTTTATATAATTTTCGCGAGAAAAATGAAATAATTTTAATCCATCCGCATTTCTAAAATAACTTGCCTTATTTAAACAATTTATCTCAGTTTAATTTAAATAAGGATCTCTATATACATCCTGTTATTTTTTTGTATTGTTGCGATTCATTTATTATTAATTCTTTCTGATACGCGCTGAACACTTCTCGTTACTGCGTGATATTTATCTCAGCTGGTTATTTAATTAATGGGTCCAGTAAAATGATTAAAATCACCCGCAAACTACCCACGTGGACATGATCCGCTGTGCGTTGTCCCTTTTAAGTGCAGCCCTTGTATCGACGACAAAGTGCATACGTCGCATACGTTAGCTAATCGATATTTTAATATTGTCACACGCCATTCCGGATTAAAGGCCTTTATGTGTGCTTGTTGTGCGTGCGCGTATGTGTATATCATGACGTCATTGAGCGGCAGATGTGTCCCGTCCAAAAAGATTTCCGAGAGCGCGACACAACGTCCTTTGCGCGATTAAAATTCGCTCGTGTACGTGAAACCGAGCGATAGCACTTACAGGTGTATGTATAATCGCAAATAATTCCCTTCAACCCCTGTGAAAATTTTTCGATTAAAATTGCAAAAAAAAAGTTATAATCTTATTACTCCAGAATTATTCAAAGTTGATAAAACAGCCATTGAGTTCATTTAAACGACTTTTGTTGAAATTTGAAACATTTCGATTTTCTTAACGCTGCATTGGATCATAATTAATTGGTTATCGCAGAAAATTATTCGATGTCTTTCGTTTACAGATTAAAATAATTTACTCGTTGAAGCATTTGTATTTCAGTATCAACGAGGCGAACTTAAACAGCTTATGGAAACGTATTTTGAGAAAAATTGATGGGAAAGGGTGAGATTCGTGTTAAATCTCCCGTAAAAGGGTTGAACGGAAGTATTCGCAGGATGACCGGGACTCGAATCGTTGTTAAACAATGGCATTCCGAACGATTTGCCCGTAAACGTCGCCTAGGCCAATTTGTCGGGTAATTTCTGGAGAAAATCGGTCGGTCACTACCGACGGAGGGCCGAAGCTCGTGTGCAGACATATTGTTCATTTGATTCTACTGTCCCTTCTGCTGGGTATGAATCATGCCGTGGCCTTTCTACGGGTACACGTTGTACGTTTCGAAAACTATTGGAGTTGTATGTAAATTGCAGTTTAGCGCGCACGTGTTCGTCAATCAATAATTTTATTACATTGCTCACTTTCACCTTTCTTTCAAGGGTAGCCGCCGCCTTAAATCTATAATATTGAGAATCGGGAATTATTTTAATTTTTATTTCAACATTACATCTTCTCCAGATAAATAATGTTCTTTTGAAAGCTTGCTTCCCTATTGCGCTAATCTACTGCGCGATATTAGTTCGAGACGATACAATTGTGCAATATATTGAGTTCTCCGTCTCTTCGATAAAAGTCATCGCGAGCGATAGCCCGAATTGCAACTAGCTAGCCAACCATTCTCGTAGAGAAACTCTGGAGAAATAATCCTAACAGATGGCCACCCGCGAGGTTTGCATATGAAAAGCACAGGGCCATGAATCGATACACCTTTATTATGCTCAAGCACTTGCTTATCTCTTTCGTCTTTCCGCCGGCATCTTCCCTCCCCGGGGAAGTCAGCAATATTTTCGACTTTCGGGGAAAAAAGGAGCCCGGCTAGCCGCTCGGAGAAGAGATGAGGGCGTAGGAAAACAACATGGTGAACGCCCGAAGCGTGAAACAGTACGAATTTTTGCGTTTCGCCACTTGGCTATGACGCTTGTGTCAGGCATGACTCGGTCGTCTCATCGCTTTCCTTTATGATTTTCTTTCTCTCTCCTTCACACCTTAATTTCTGCCCGGAGCCGAAACCTTGAGCCAATTTATATTTCATGTTTTGTATTTTCTTCTGTCGAAAGATCAAGTTGAAGATGACTCAGAGAAATTTCAGCCTGAAAAGTTTTGCTCAATTCGAACCGCCGCGCTGGTCTTTTTCTTAACATTTTTACATAAATTCTGTTGTTCTTTTAGGTTTTGATTTGAAGTGTCGAGAATCATACAGTCACAACTAAACAAATTTTACGAAAGAAAAGATAGTTTCAAAACATTCCGTTTGAATAAAATTTTGTTTAGATTCTTGTAAACTTTAGCTTCTTCAACATATACTTTTGCTTATAAATGACCAAAATATTTAACATCCAATTATTAATAACCTACAACAAATATTGTCTGTCTGAGAAAAGTATGTAAGTTAATAATATTATATGTATAATAAATATAAGTAACAAAAGTTTTAAGAAAAATTGAATTGAGACAAGTTGAAAACTCAATTAAAAAGAAACATTATGAAACTCCTATAAAAAGTACAATTTAAATGAATAATTTCAAAATAAAGTTGGAGTAAAGTTGTCAGAAATACGCGATTGTACAATTAAAATAGTTCGTATTTTTATATTATATATACTTTTCTTCTCGTGCAAACATCTCAGCGATTCAGGAAATCGCCGAGAATATCGTGCCTGTTCGCTCGCGATTTTTGCGCCTGGTTCCTCTGCGACTTTCTCCACGTTCTTTCTGTCAATCGAAAAATCACGCGCGTCAATGAGATGAGATTGCGACGAGCGTCTCTCATTCCATCCTCGCTGCGGCGCGTAAACGCTGCAAGCGTAATCCTGGTGAAAGGTCAGCAAGACGAGGAAGAAAAGTTCCCCTCGCCCACTGCCGGGCTCGTTATTCTACTTAGCACCTTGTTACATGCAACGAAATGTGTTCTATTGTGTATTGTCGTGAGATAAACTATCATTTACCCGTTGACGGCGTTGAGTTGTTCCTAATTTTATTTAAGATTCATTGTCTCGTCGCATCCTGCTCATCGTCGTCGGACCGATCTCTCAAAGCCACGCCATTTCCACGAATTGTTCTGAGTAATTTCACGTTAACGTAAGTAATAATTGTACGGAAAAATGAAGGAAATGAAATACCGAGATCACTGGAGATATTTATATGATTCGTGTAGCATCAGGCAAATCGATGGCTAACATATTCAGGCTAAATCAGTGGATACTGTTACCCGCTAAAAATAATTTTTGTTACAACAATATTCTCTCAAGTGTAAATATACACCTCAGTTCGGCGATCGTTCGGCTTTAAGGCGATCTTGAAGCTTTATTTCTAACAAAGATCTTTCCCTATCCCGAACGGCCATTTAATTAGGACCACTTTATTTTGCTGCAGCCTTTTGTCTCCGGCTGACTTTCCCTCCCGTCGCCCAAGTACCGCGAGACAGTGAGGTACAATGGAGGGGGGGGGGGAGAGGGCGAGTCCTGAACTTTTTAATCTCTTACAAGAGGAAGTATATACCCCTGCCCGCTACAACGCGCTCGTATTTATCTCGTCTAAGAAGTTTCTTCCTGAATAATGCCGCGTGCGTATTTATTCGTCTGTGCGAGATGCGTTCTCAAATTCGACAAGTCCGAGCTTGCCGAATTAAGGGAAAAAGAAACTCGCGGCCATTCGAGAATAGCCAAAATGTTTCTTCGATGTTAAGGCGACTTAACAACCGTTCTTTTTATTCTGTTGAAAGATTGTGCACGCGTTAAAAATTGTTTCCTGTCCCGGAAATTACAAAACAAAAATGTAAACAAGTACTTTGGGAAAAATGAGACGGTTGAATTAAGAAAGTAACACATATCGTGAGAGAATACTGCCATAAAAAACTTTACTTGGTGTCTTAAGTGAATTCATAGTGTTTCTTGAGACGTAAATTAAAATCTCCCTCCGCGGCCCCTACGTCCGGCATTATGGTCCGAGAGAATATGCTGCCCGGGTAATGTTCCACGGTGCTTTTACTCGCAAAGTGAGGGTCGCCCTTAAGCACATGGTGCGTGCATCCTCGGCCTTTCTCTCCCTTTTCCCCAACAGTCCTCTCTCGCGTTCCCGCCACCGAGGCGGCGTCGAATTAATAAAATCCCACAGACTCCCGCGACGGGCGTCTACTGTGCTACGCGGGGCGTGAAAAATGGCCGAAAATCTGATATTCCGGATTAAAAACATTGAAATTCAAAACCCGTCCCTCCCGCATCATAAGCTTTCGCGCGCGCCATAGGGGAGGAGGGTCGAGAAGTCGTTAAGGGTCAGTTTCAGCCGCATGCCATAGTAACCGACCCCCGTTGGCCCACAACGATCCCCTCCCGCGCTCCCCGGCGACTGCCGCTCGGCGAGGATATTATTTTTAAGCCCCCGCAACTCGCCGGCCCGAACCGCAATTTGACACAGACGCGCCGTTTGAATTCCGAATTCAATCGGCCGGGTCCGATCTCTGTTCCGATTCCGCGAAATTAAGGGTGGTTCGAAAATTGATAGCGTGGCTCCGGGGCATGTGCGCGCACATGTGTGTACGTGCGGGTTTTACGAGCTGCCGTCACATGCTCGCGAAATCACCGTGAAGCTTCAAATTCTGTCGTCAGATTATTACGATATATCTAAAGCCTTATAATCATCTTATTCGTGGCTGCAACCCGTCGGATTATATTAGCTTCAGCGCACAACTCTCTCTTTCTCGCTGCCTTATTCAAAAATAAATTTCAATCTCTGAAATAGCCGTGCCACTGTACACGACGAAAACGTTTAAGTCGAAAGAATTATGGGTACTCTAATGTTTTAATAACATAATTAATAATTAAGTTTTCTGTACGAAATTACGTGAAAAAAAAAGTTAAATTCAAGCTTATACGTGAATGGTAAATTTATCTTCGATGTTTCGTGAACTTTGCAGAATTCGCTGCATTTAAATTTTCTCAAATGCTAAAATGAAATTCTTGTTGCGCATAGACAATGTGACCCTTAACGTCGCGACGTCGCTTAATCTGTTTCAGAGCCAAGGTGGCTGCAGTGTTCGCAGTGCTCTCGGCGGCTGTGTTCGGCATGGGAGCTCATTCAGCATGTACAGAGCATGCACGGCGCCCGCCTCTACTGCTCCTCCTCCTCGTCGACGAACTCGTCGTCGAACACTCCGGCGCCTAGTCCACCGACGCCTACGCCGACGCACGCGCACCATCTAAGTCCGCCGAATCATCTGAACCTAAGCGGCAAGTCCACCGGAAGTTCCTCGGCGGCGAACTCTTCCGGCGGCGCGAACACGAGTGGCGGTAGCGGTGGTCGACAGCAACTTCAGACCTCTTCTTTGGTGGGCGATCCCCTCCACAGTTTCTTGAGGCTACCCCAGCACTTGGAGCGAAGTTTCCCGCCTATGTTCAGGCCCGACTTCCTCACCCTGAATCCCTTGGCGGGGTACAGAGGTCTTCAGGAGCTGCAGACGGCCACGCGAAATCTACAAAACCTGGGCGACCCGCTACGCGGTATGGACGGGTTGAATCTGGGGGACCCACTGGTGCGTAGCTCATTGGATTCTCTGAACAACGCCCGGAACCTAGCGAATCTGGCCGAGTTGTCACACGGCCGTGGCCTCGCGGGCCAAGCACACCCACCACCACTCGAAGCGAACCTGGATTTTTACTCAGCGCGCCTAAGGAGCCTCGCTAATCCGTCCTTAGGCGCGGCTCCACCTACGCCTAGCGGTAATTCCACGACAAATCCCCCTCCTCCGCCGGTACCACCGGTACCGCCAGTCCCTGTAGCCAGCGGTGTTCAGCAGCAGCAGCAGCAACAGCAGCAACAGCAGCAACAGCAGCAACAGCAGCAACAGCAGTCGCAGCAACAGCAATCACAGCCCCATTCACAATCGGTGGAACCGCCTAGTCCGGCCTCGGCCAACCCCGCGAATTTAACTCACGGCAGTCATCAAAAAGAGAACTCGCCACCCTGTTATAGCCAAAGCCCAGTCGGGCATCACAACAACAATAACTCGACCGACAGCGAGAAGACCAGCCCGCCGGTAGCCTCTACGCCTATTATCACCGATTCTTCGTCGGAGACGGTGTACACGTGCGAGGTCTGTGACAAGAAGTTTCGTTTCCAATCAAACCTGATCGTCCATCGTCGTAGTCATCGAGACAAGGAAAGGCAGTACCAGCAGCAAGAAGCCACGCAGGATGGTCAGAGTACGCAGACGAGATGCGAGGTGTGCGAGATTGAGGTAGCGAATTTCACCGAGCTGAGAAAGCACATGAGGAAGGAGCACCAAGAGAACTTGAATTCGGCCGCCAGTCCGCAAGGCAGCGTCGAAACGGTGCCGGACGACGGATCCAGTTGCGATGAAAACATGGACTTGGACGAGATGGAGGATAACGAGCAGAAGACCGAGCGGGAGGACGCGGAGGAAAACACGCCGGAGGATCTAAGCACCACTCAAGGGCAAAGCGGCGAGGAGAGCGGAGGTCGAGTGGAGAAACCAGCCAGCCTGGTGGGCGATCTCATGGAGAAGTTTGGCTTGAGCAACATCGCTCAATACTCGGAAGCTTATCGGCAAGCGCTGCAAGAAAATCATCGCAGCGGTTTCCTCAAAACCGACTCGCCGTGCAACCTCGCCAACTCGCTCAACAACAACAAAGAGAAAGAGAGCGCGCTCTCGCCGAATTTCAATTCCTCAACGACCCCGAATATTTTTTCTGGCCAGGGATTTCCTAGATCTGCAGGACCGGATTTCGGGGGTCTTTGGTTACCTAGTCCACACTACCTGGAGAACAATGAATTCCGTAAGGTGTCCAAGGCCACGACGTCCACCTTGGCGCTTCAGGGCCTGCCAAGTCCGATGCTGAAGAAGGAGCGGAGCGGCAGAAACGACACTTGTGAGTACTGCGGTAAGGTTTTCAAGAACTGCTCGAATCTGACGGTGCACAGGCGATCGCACACCGGCGAGAAGCCGTACAAGTGCGAGCTCTGTTCGTACGCGTGCGCCCAGAGCTCGAAGCTGACCAGGCACATGAAGACCCACGGCCGACACGGCAAGGACACGTATAAATGCCGCTTCTGCGAGATGCCGTTCTCGGTGCCGAGCACGTTGGAGAAACACATGAGGAAATGCGTAGTGGTGGTGCAGCAAGGCCCCAAGTTAGAAATACCGTACCCAGTGATCAAGGACGAGGACTCTTCACTTAGCAGTAAGGATACTTGATCCTGGAACGGAAGCCTACCGCCGATCCCGCCGTTGTGGCCGCATAGGCCGCCTTATCCGGTGTACTGAAGACGATAGAGCTTCCTCTTCCGGGACCTCGTGAGAAGAAGAGATGCCTGATGAATCCTACGTTTCGCAAGGCCGGTTCGATTTTATCGAGGCGGCGCGACCTCAGAAGGATCTCTTGACGCGAAATGTCCGAGATGACCCCTCGGGATTAGGAAAGGTGGTAGGTCGATGCGTGATTTCGAGAATCTCCGACCAAACGGCCTGGAAACGGCCGGTAGTGTCGACAAGTTATGGGAAAAAAATCAAGAGCTGGAAGAGCCAGCGGAGTTTCAAGGGAGAGAGGATCCTCACACGAATCGCGAATATTGTACGCAATGTGAAGATGACCAGATGACGTGAAAACAGGGGCGACAGAATAAAGAAAGAAGGTACTCGACAAGAAACCCTACTCCGCGTTTTAACTCACTATTAAAAAAATGAACGAATGGTTACCAGTTTGCGAGTCTCAGCACACACACAGCTATTTAAATTATATATATCTCTATAAATATAGTTTATAAATAACGGAAAAAGACACTATAAATATAGAGCTGCATATATATACATACAGATAAAGAACAAATAAAATATATAAATATATATATATAAATATAAAAAGAAATGCAAATACAAAGAATATAAATATTATAAATAAGATAACGAACAATAGTTCGTGACTTTATTATCGCATTTGAAGATTATTTATTTAATAATATAGATATATATATATACATATTGTATAACGTAATATATATATATAAATATTATGAAAATCTGCAACTCGCCGTGTATTATATAGGGACAAATTGGAACGGAGTCTTTTTGTACATTACACGACGTCGCTTCGTAAGAACGCGTCAATGGAACCGACGCGTCTTCTTTTTAAAATGCATCGATTTCCTTAGAGCATAAGGAGAACTGGCAACTCCGACGATTCTGTATGTACATATTTAAAAAAAAAACATCGATATTCGAAACACTGTTATATATATATGTATCGATATACATAGGATAATTGAGAATATTTGGTTTAAGTAATTACGAGAAGAAGCTAGCATCTGTAAGCTCTAGCTCGATCCTATGTACAATATATTACATCTATTATCGGCGACTCTATTACCTTTATTAATATTATTATTGCACTTATTATATTGTCTTTATTATTATTGACATTATTATTGTTTTGTAACATGATTATTATTGTCATTATTACTATTATTGCTATTATCATTACCATTCTATTATTACGTTTGTCACTATTATCATTACGGTTGCAGTGAGTTTAAGCGCCGCTTTCATTATTTTATTCCGATATTAAATTATTATCGCAGATGTTTTTAAAGGTTAAGAAAATGCCAAAGTTGTTTAGGTTTATAGCCGCTGATTTTCCATCGCGCGACGCGCCCGTCGAGGTGGAGGAATCGTTTGATCGGAACAATTGCAGCAGCATTTTAGACCGTTCGATAATAATCTGAACTGATAAACTAATCGTTCCCGCGGACAATCTCGAAAGAAATATCTCAATCGAAAAAAAAAACTCCTCCTTCGACGGTCACCTCGTGGCCACGTCGAGAATATCATCAGCGCGCTTTGTTCGTTGATTATATTTATTGCCGTCACGGTGTCGAACCGCGCTCGGCTTTCGCTAGGATCGACACTGAAGCATTGATCCTGCGAAAACCGTCCCGCGGTCAAACCGAGGCGCAATCAGAATCGAATTTCCGTTTTCTCTCGTCCTCGTCCAAGACTGAGGCTTTCGGGCGACGCGACGATTGTTCTTCAAGTATTTGCGTTCCACTTTAAGTAGCAAAATAATTTTTCTTTCTACCCTCCCTTTTGTTTTCCTCAACGACGCCTCGTGTCGACGTAAACGTTTTCGAAGAGAACTGTTCCTAAAGAGAGAGAGATATATATATACGTAGGCAATAAGATGAGAACGAAAATAACTTCGCGATGCGTGAGAGACGACGAAGGAGTGCGAGTGTCGATTGCGTGTCTTTATGTGATTTCATTGTGAATGTTATCCTTCTCGTTCCGGGGATGAGTGTTGCGCGTGTGCGTGAATTCGACGGTGTGAACGCGAAAGCATAAAGACGATTAAAGAAACTCATATCAGATAGTTCTCTCGGTGTTAGACGTGTACGGCCCTAGATAAAAAAAATCTCTCGTTATCTAGTTAAAAGTTTGTTAGATCGATTCCTGAAATACGTACATGCCAGGCTCCGCGTTTATACGACATACTGTAAATAATGGCACTGCCCGTAGCGATGATTCGGAAGCAGAGGGAGAGAGCCGCGTCGTCGAAAAGTTATTCAATTCATTACAACAAAGGAACAAAAAAGAGATAAGTTTAAACGGTGATCTTTCCTTTTCTCGCGCAACGTGTTTTGTCGTTCACGACGATTGTGAACGAAGATTGGATCTAAAACGATGGGGATGTGGGGACGATCAACCCCCCTTCGAGAATTCGCGGAATGAATGGAGAGAGAAAGAGAGAGAGAGAGAGAGAGATTTTTGACGGAGCACCGTGTGTGTAATCGACGAAATAAAAATCCTGCGGCACGTTACCATACACGAATTACGCGTATTTTGATTTCGGAAAGTTCTTCCTCCTTCTCTTCTTACTTTTCAAGTTTATCCCACATAGGACCAAATTCCCTGCCTCACCGTAACAAAGGAGCGACACGTGTCAAATGCAAATCTCGCGGCGGGCGATCGGACCGGCGGGATGCGACGAGGACGATAACGAATTTATACGACACGTAAGAATATCCATTCGCTAGAGAGATACACGGTAAACGCGGCAATAATGATAAATCGCAATGCGAATCCGATATGGAGATTGCCGCTGGCGATCCCTGCTCGGCTTCGTACCAGTCGCGGGGCATCGGCGTTTAACGTGCAATCTAAAATATAATGTTGTGCACAGACTCCTCATTATCTCGATTAATTGACGTATTAATAAGAAATCAATCCGATTGTCCCGTCGTGTCCTCCGGTTGGTTTCTAACGTTTCTACAGGGTAAATCACGTAAAATGCTAAAAGATAATCCCAGAACGAACGTCAGGAGTATAGTCGAGCGAAGTATCTAGGCAGTCGATATAATTTAAAGCTACGAAGTATTTCCTATAATTATAGTAAGAGAGCGCGAAAGAGAGAGAGAGAGAGAGAGAGAGAGAGAGACAGAGAGAGTGAGAGAGCGAGAGAGTAAACGGAAGAATTTTTTTCCATAGAGTCGATTACGGGAGAAAGAGATGCAAGAGGGAACGATAATATCGTAGCAGGGAAATTGGATTTTTAGGAAATCTTCTGATCCAGGGTAAATAATCCGAAGCTCGGTTTCTAGGGACAGTATATGTGACCGGGTTAAACCTGGCATTGAACACTTTTAACCGAGGATCGACATTAAGGCAATACGAAAAAAATAAAGAAAACCCAGGCATCTCCGAGTAAACTCCGGCCGAGGCTTGCGACAAACGTTGGCCGAGCTTTACCTCGCAGGGGTCCCTAATTGTAAACATAGCAGATACGGTGTATGTCTTGTGCGATTCAAATAAACGACATTGTTTTTAAATAACCTACACTATTTGCGTTCCTTTTAATCTTATTCTCTTGCACCTATCCTCCCGGTCTTGATATCAATTGAACCAGAAGTGAGGACAGAAAGGAGACTTACACATGGCATTTTGGCCGAAATTGAACGAACTCTCCTTTGTGGTTTAAAAAATATTTTTGATAAAAACTTTAAGGATTTTCTTTACAGGAAAAAGTAATATTAAACCTACTGAAAAATTCATACGTTACAATACAATTTTCTGTTCTTCTCAAATGTACGATTTTGTCACATGTACCCTTTCTTTATTCTAACTTTTTAATGATTTTGTCACCTGTACCCTTTCTGTTCTAACTGATTCAATTGCGTAACGAATTAATCCTGGTATATCGCTTTCACACTTTTTCGATAATATATTCTTATGTTTGCTCTCTACGTATACTTGAGATTTTTAAGTAAAAAAATTGTGGACAGATTTGTTTTAATTTTTTTCATATTTTCGTAAGATTCAACATAATGTTTTCTATCAATCATAGTATATTTGTAATTATGACTTTTCTAGAAAAGTCAAAATCTTCCGTGCACGCGATATTTTTTGAACGTGTATTCATATTTGTAATCATTTGTAATTGGCTATATATTTTATCACTAACCGTAGCCGGTTGATTTTTCGGAAAACGAGACTTTCTCATTCCGCGACGTTAGCTTTCGATACGCCTCTATCAAACGTGCGCGTAAAAAGCTCGTTACATAAATTGTTTAACTCGTCTCGGGTTACTGTCGTTCGCCTCCTGTTGCATTGCATAATGTTGGGTTTCGCAACAGTTTAAAGTGCGATTAAAACGAATCTGTCGCGTCGTGCGTGAAAAATAGAAAGAGTTTAGGTATTTTTTCTTGGTTACCACCAATAAATATAATTTTATTATTCTATCTAAGCAGTGTAATCTTCAGTTTTAGTCAGACTCTTAATTTGTAATTTCTACATTTTACGATAAAAATAAAATGTACGAAAAGCATGAATGTGTTTTACGCACTCACTTATCGTTTAAATTTATATAGCCGTCGCTAAAAGTCATGTAACTGTTTAATAAGGAATCAATTCTGCCATCTAGCGTGAAACTGTAACGATGCAAACGAAATTGCAGGTGAGGACAATCATGCTGTACCTAAACGGGACGCTCTTGTATACCGGGTTGCTCGCACAAAGGCTCGCTTAAGGATAGTTGGCTGACGCTTGGTTGTTTATTCGACTTTATAAAAAAGTATAACAATACTTTGAAAATGTTCTTTCTCTTCCCTTTTACTTTAATTTTATTATCAATAAATTTTCATAAATTGATAATCAACAGATTAACTTGCAAACATTAATTCCATTTCTCATGTACTCTGCAATAAGATAGTTGCAATGCATATAAGATTAAACAGAAAATTCTAGTAAGTGCCACGAGAAAAAAATTAATTAATTTCACGAAATAAACATACTTTTGTTAAAGATATTAGCATGTATTAAGTTTATATGCACAAAGTTTATGTGCTTTTTGCTTCCGAAAATAAATTTCATCTTTCAAGTTTTCTTTTGAGATAAAGAAAAATTTTAATTAGAATTAAATAATTAATATTAAATAATTTGCTAAATTATTCTGCCACATTTTAACAAGTTGCTAAATCGTGTATTATAACTTTTTGTGTAAAAATAGGAAAATAAATTATTTACCAAGATTCAATATAAGCGTTTGCATCAACGTCTAATTCGAAAAAATCTGAAACAAATGCAGATTCAAACGAGCCTCTTTTACATTAACTTCTCATTTGAAAATAGGATAAAGTATCACTATCGTCTTGTCTTCTGTGGTCAATTCGCAGACGTAAACTACGAAATGTGCACATCGACTCAACATTATCGCTGTTTCGTATATTCCGCCCTATTTTCGCCTGCACCGCTGCTCTCGCATTGAGATCGTTCCGCGGATTCCTCGAAAACCTCAAGCGAAATATAGATCACGAAGTCCGGGATCCACCGTCAACATCAGATTAATCC